TATCTTATCGTATCTTATCTTATCTTAAATAAGCTTCAATTTGAGCCCATGATGAACTTTCTATCTTGAAAATTACACTGGCTGTGACCAAAATTAAAAAGTAAATACTACAAAACAAATGCTTAAATGGTATTCAACATATAGGTACATAGGCTGACAGAAAACATCCTGAGGGCTGGACCTGCCTCCTGGCATACTGTATGTAATAAATCAAATCTCAGTCTTCATCTTCCACATTGTTGATTTTCACTCCTTTTCCTACCTTTAATACTGCCTCTTCCTCATTGAAAGTTCCACCTAGCAGGCCGATAACTTCTCCCCGCGACACGTGTGCATGCTGACAATGACAACACGTTTGATCACATTTGGAACATTAGAATAGTTCCGGACAGAATAAATGAGACACTGGTTTCAGCTCATGTTGTATGCAACACACTGAAGAAACTTTTTTCAAGCTGACTAACTCTTAACATATCAGTGTGATACCAAAGGGAGAACACATTCAGTATGTTTGGGTGTGTGTGTAGCATACCATGTCCATTATGAGAAGAGTCTCTGCACACACAATAACCTGGAATGGTTCCTGGGGAGAACAGCAAAGAAACACCTGTCAAACTTACAAAACCTGACAGCTATGGACCACAATGGACATAACTTCAGATTAAATAGGCGGTGAACTTCCTATCTTGCAACATACATTGCATTACTAAACACTGAATGATGAGATAAACAGCCACTGACCTGCACATCCTCTCCAAAAGACCTGCAGGGAATCAACTGGAAGGGATCAAAAGACCTAGAAGAAGAAGTGACAGCATGAGGATTCACACATATATATTCCAAGGCTGTCGGGAAATTGGCACATGTTGCGTGGATCTATCACGCTCACCCTTTGAACCTGGACATCTTGCAGGGTTTGGGGTGCTTCTTCATCTCTTCTCTCCGCAGAGCGAGCTCCTCGGCACTGAGATGCTGATGAAAACACCGCCAACACAGGATCAGTAAATAAACTAACTATACTACTGTGCTATGCTAACTTTGCTGAAGTATTGCAGTGTGTGTGCGTCTGAGAGTGTCCAAACCTCATATGTCTGTCCCTCCAAGTCTTTAGCGTCACGCCAGTTTCCCCATATGTCCCGCACACGGCGCTTCCTGGTCCGCTACAACGTGCAGCCATTCAACAGTTAGCTCATAGTTCAGATACTTGAGGTTGGGTGTCAGAGTTCAGGAGTTTATGGGTACCTACCATGCTCTGCAGTCTCTGGGCCAGCTGGTAGGCCTCAAGCACGTCTTTTCCCACCTTATGCTTGGAGCGGTCCACCACCTTTGGACGATTGTAGACCGCTTGCTCTGTTATAGAAAAGACACAGCTCCACGTTAAAAGGGAGGCCAGATTGTTTTTTAAAGCAGAGAAGAACGCCGTCATAGGCTCAGTAAAGGTACCGCAGTTGAAGTTGATGGCTCCAATGAGCTCCAGGTAGGTGTGTATTCTCCCAATGCAGTTGACGTCTCCGCAGTTCTTCAGTCCAGGGCGGACTGAGGTCTTGTTCAGGTACTTGGGCTTGCTTCTCAGCCTGGTGAAAAAAAAAGACAAAATAAAGTAATAACCACTTCATCTGCAGAGTTGTGGTGAAAGAAGTTACCAAACGTGTTACGTTTTACCATTGATCCAGGATGTAGTTTCGGATCTTAAGGTATCTTTCTGGGGTCTTGGATGGTCGTCCCTCGAAGAACTCTGGGATAGCTTGTTTCTCATCCTCAGTGATGGTCTCCATGTCCATCTCTATTTCCTGCTCAGGGGCCTTAAGCTCCTCCTCATCCTCATCCTCATCCTCGTCCTCGTCCTCCTGGTCTTCTTCTTGTCTATCAGCTGGACTCTGCTCAGTCTTATCAGCAGAATCTGTGAGGCAAATATGACCACAGTGTAACTTCACAAGAGAAACAACCACAGCCATCATCGTGAGGTGGATTTACATAAAAACGGCAGTCTTACCTGTGCCATCGCTCCAGTTCTCTTCCAGTTGACCAGTCTGTGCTGAGCTCTCATGCTGGGAGCTCTGGCCTTCATTCTCATCAGTAATTTGCTTTGACTCTGTCTGAGCTTGTGCCTGAGGGTCTTTTAGAGGTGGTGATACTCTCTCATTGCCTTTCTCATCCAGCTCAGTCACACCAGTCTTCTCTAAGGAAGGGAGGGAAGACGAGGGTTGAGGACTTTGTGGAGATAAAGATGATGCGGTGTGGAGGGGTCGGTCCTTTGTCTCAGTCAGACCGGCCTCTTTCTGCTCCTCGGTGGGATCGTCTGTCTGGACCTCAGCACCCGCTTGCAGTTCTGGCTCGCAGAACTCAGTTTTGAGCACTGTCTGCAGTTTATCGTCACCATCACCATCGCCATCGTCGCTCAGGTCATCGGTGATGTCAACCTCCTCATCCTCTTCGTCAGAAAGCTTCTCTATACGGACAGTGTTTGACAGAGTGGATGCACGACTGGAGGTGGGCTGAGGAGCTTGTAAGTGCAGCACAGGACCTGCAGAGGGAGCTGCAGCTCTGGGTTCTGATTTAGCCTGAAAAAACATGTACGTGTGATGAAACGTTTGTTTATTTTTCAGTCTTATTTCCCACGCCTTCCAGAAGAATGCATTCTGGTTGGGAAAGAGTTACGAAAGCACAAGTTTAACTGTGGGAGACACGCCCTGTGTGCTGCTTAGGTAGCAGCATGACACAGTGAACACAGTAAAGGCAAGTCTCACCTTGTGTTTGAAATACTGTCTGGCATAGCTCTTAACCTGGAGAACGGTACGGCTGCCCACCAACTTGGCAATCTTCGTCCACCTTCGGCCAAACTGAGCCTGTGGAAAAACACACCGAAGCCACCTGGTATTATAGACAATACAGTCACAAAGTGCCTCACAAACAGCAGGTTTTAAATCTGTTAAAGGCAAACAATTGCATGTTGACAAGGGGAGCTTACCAGTCCTTCCTCAAACAGTTCTTTCTCCTGTTTGGACCAACGAGAAGAGGAGCCTGAGGCCGAGGTCTTGGCTGGAGACCTGAACACCCAACAGACACAAGCGTGACATGAATGCCAACAGCATGAGGACTGGGTCACTCTGCTCATGTGACTGCTGAAGGAAGAATTTACTTACTTCTTCGCTTTGGTCTTGCTGTTCGCATCACTTTCCCAGATATGATTATGAACCTCCTCACCTGTCAGGTAGTATCTACAAGTGTGGTTCAGGTCCAGCAGGTTTAAAAATGAGTGTTCTCTAAACTATGTATCTGAACAGTTTAGTTCAACTGACAATGACATACAGAACACACATTAAAATCAGTTAGTGCCACAATTTAAGAAGCTGTAACAAGCAACTGTCCACTAATTAAACATATTTTAAAACATCAGTGCATTCATTTATCATAGATTTTTGCACAATTTCTCTTACTATTTGTTGTTGTGCTTTAATTTTTACAATCAGTAGTTTCAGTGAGGAGTTTTATTGTTTCAGCAATATTTGTCAAAAGATTTGGCCTTTTTCCTCACACTGAAAAGCTTATGGTTGAGATAAAATGAAGCAGACAGGGCGGTATGACCAAACATTTATATCATGGTATTTTAAAAGATTCTGGCAGTTTCACATTGTATCGCAGTATTTTCTATTTATTTACTTTTGCTTGACTGGGTCTTTATATAAGTTTATGGTGGCTTAATCTACTGTCAGGAGTACAAGCAATATAAAAACATTTTAATGTCATCGTGAATATACTGAAGGCTGCGATTACTATGGGGAATCCGAATGAAAACAACTTCAAGTAAAAACAGATGTGTGTAGATTATCGTCATTTAATAATGTATGGGTGACAGGGGTGTCGGGGGAGGTCACACACTTAAACTTACACACTAGTCATCTTATCGCAATGTTTTGTGTGCAATTGAAGTACTATTTGTCATGTAAACTAACATCTCCATTGAAGGGACATCATTCCATTGATGCACGTTAAAAACACAGACTGCATCGCACCCAGCTGAGTGACTGGATTGCTGGTCAGGATAGTTGCTACACTGCCTACTGAAGAGTAGAGTAGATCATACAGGAAATTACAAGCCAGTGGACAAGCCAAACTAATTAAATTGATTAGAAATGTGTTGAATTCTTCAGCTCATCCCTGGGCTTGGACTGTAAGGCGATATGTCTCTGCTAACTGTAGACAGCATTAGTCACAGACATCACAGACACCTCTGCAGTTAGTTAGTGAAGACTGTTCAGTCAGTGAAAGGATACTGTTCCTCCAGCAGCATCCTCTCTATCACCTCTCTGTTCTCTGCGCTGATGGAGCTGTCCAGCTCCCAGGGCTGCACGACACAGGGACAGAGACACAGACAGAGACA